GTATAGAATTTAGTTTCCAATTATGTATTCTAATCTTAAAAGAGAGTATGTGGAAGTTGCTGTGCTTATCCTTCAGCTCACTCCATTCTGCTGCTGTGCATGCATTTTGGGGGAAGCACCTTTTAAAATCTAAGTCAGAAAAGAGAGTGATAAGCACAGTTGAGTTTGTCTTGTGATAAAAAGACACACGAAGCCTCAATCAGTTTCTCCTGGATGCAGTCTCAAGAGGAAAGAGAAAGGAGGTGCCGTGAAAAGCACTTGGTTTTCAGCAGTTGCTGACGCCAGTGATCAAAACACCACAGAAGGAGCAATACTTCCTGCCTTCCAAAGATAAGGGAGGATGGAGTGCTGCACTCTGCTCTGCTCATCCAGGTGGGCATGAGGGGAAGCCTAGAGATAAATGTAGAGAATCATGCAATTAAGATAGCCTGCCTAAGGAGGCTGAGAAGCAAGAAGAGCATCTATTTTGTATGTTTGATTCTACTCATATCTGCCATAAAGTGTCTTTAGAAGTGGGAGCAGGAGACTAATTTGAGACTGTTTCTTGTGTTACAAAACTGGAAAGGAATACAGGGGAAATAGATCCCTTGATCCTGAACAATGCTGAATAATGTTTGTTAGCTATGTTCCCTGTTTAGGCTAGGCAGTGCTTAATGGGGGAATTATGGGCAACCTCCACTACTTACTCAATCATATCCTTGAATTATGGGAATCTAGGCCTAACACCAAGTGCTCTTAGGGATGGATTATGCACTTTTGTGCCTGGCTTGACTCCTTCTCAAAGTAGTCTTATTTCAATTACTGAAGATCAATAACATTTTGATATGGGAAATAAATTGCAGCTGTGACATACAGTATAGCTTAAAACTGACTTTGAATAATGTTAATGCCTCATTCAACCCCAATTCAAGAATGAGAAGAAAATTCTATCATGACTCATTTACAAAGGAACACATCCGCTTTGCCTCATACTTCACCTACTGCAGCCCTAATCTTCACCTAATTTAAAGTGCCTTCCCCAAAGCTATAAGGATTAGAGATAATGGAAGTTGCAGTCCACCACATCTGGAAGTCACCAAGTTAGCTTAGGTCCCAACAGCAGGGTAATTATGAAGATGGCACACATAACTGTGCACTGTAATATTGAGCTCTGGCCTCAGGTTGTCCTATCCTTTTTAAAGAAATCCTCTAATGTGACAGCAAAAACAAGCTGCTTTCTCTCCAACTTTCTGTAACTGACCAGAGAGCTAACTTTGCCCTTTAGTATTTTTACAAATAACTTAAGGTAGCTAACACACCTAATACTCCTTCCTCCTTTTGTTTTTCTCATAACAATCCTGTGAGGTGGGTTAGGCTGAGAGTGTCTGTGGAGATTCTCCAGTCATCCAGGTGCTTTTTCTTATCTTTTCCTTTAAAAGGCAACTGGATTTTTGTTTTATTTTTTCCCTTGAGGAAGAAAAAGAAAACTTTTCATTTCTCATCCAAGAAGCTTCCTCAGTTCTGAGGTGTGTGTGTGTGTATGGAAGGATAGCTACTGACAGTTGAGACTGGATGATGTGGGGGATGGAAGGATTGTATTTCTTTGCAGTTATCTGGTCATTAGAAGTTCTCAGAGAGATGACTGCAAAGAAATCCACACTGTAGGTAAACTGTAAGTGTGGTGAGTATGAGTAAAGCTGTTAATGTAACTTATACCCTCTATCTTATAAGAAAGCATTATTTGAGAGCCATGATTAACCAAAATCATGACCGCTGAAGTCAATTTCTGTGAGTCCATTTGATGATGACAATGTCATATGGAAGATTGTGACATGGAATGTAAGAAGAGTAAGTGACAAAAGAGTGGCAAATAGTGTCTGTGAAACTTAGAGAAAATGGAAGGATCTGAAGGTAATCTGATTTTGTGCAATGAAGTTCATGAATAAATGCAGGGAAGTGAAGGACTAAGTTTACTTATGAATGAAAAAGCTAAAATGTACGACAGAAAGTATGAACTGGTATCATTTAGTTTGTATGGTAGATGCATATGAAAGAAGGAATCCATTTGTTGATGATAGCTGCATATTATTTTCAGCCCTTCAAGGTATACCATAAAAGGAAACCAGAATACTACTGTCAAAGTTCCGACTAATGGAACACTTCAAAGTGCATATCTTGTCAAAGCAATAATATCCAATATTAGCAGCGTTGACATCTACTTTTAGTATAAGGTTATAGTAATAGAATCTTGCAAATCTGAATGCAACCTTCCCTTTTGCTTTCATGAAAACCAGGGAGATGAGGTCCATGGCATTTTAAATAAAATTTTGTTTTAAAAAGGATTAGAAAACTGGTCCTAATTATCGGGGCATCATCAGATCTTTTAAGATTATTGTTGCTTGAAATTGCATAAACTTTCAGATAAGAATTGATTGTAAAATATGGTATAATCTGATAAGAATGTATATACTGGAAGGTCACGTCAAATCCAATGGTTTTTTTTAATTGTTTTATAAATAAAAAGTTAAAAAAAAAAAAGATTATTGTTGCTTGAAATTGCATAAACTTTCAGATAAGAACTTTAGTATCATACAACTTTTAGTAAATTGTTGGCCGTTTGGGGATGGAGGTAGCATTAGGCACCATTATATTAAACCATTCCAATTTTTTTACTTCTGGAATAAAATAATCTATAGATTATTCTAGAATAGAGCATTCTGGAAAGAACAAAACTGCTTTTCCTAGATGCTGTGTGAGTTTTATTTGTGTGTTAACTATTCAAAGCTGTGCTGGAGTTATTCCTGAGACCCTCTAATTTTGGCCACTCCCTTCACATCTCTCTGTAAAACTATTTTCTTCAAACCCATTTCTGAGCTTTCTCAAAAAAAAAAGTAATCTGTAAATAATCTCTTGTGCCACTCATATTTCTACCTTCATTTTTGTCTCTTTGTTGCAGAGCTACGCATGAGAAATTGCTTCTCCTACCTTCTCTATTGACGACACAACGAGAGACATGTTTAAAAGTATCAGAACCAGCAACATTGTACAGAAGGAATCAGCAGCTCTGCAAGATGCAAATTTCATTTTCTTTCTCACATTATACCAGTTTTTCTCAACCTTGACAATTTTAAGGCATGTGGACTTCAACTCCCAGAATTCCACAGCCAGCGATGCTGGCTGTGGAATTCTGGGAGTTGAAGTCCACATGCCTTAAAATTGTCAAGGTTGAGAAACACTGCATTATACTGAATGAAGGAATGCTTAAGATGGATCTTTCAACAGCCTAAAGCAAAATGGCACAACCCAGCTCTAACTCCAGTCCATATCTGGATTTTTGCTAAATTCCATTCTGGATTTCCAAGCCTTTGGAACCATAGACTTTTTAAAGTGCTTTCTCAAATGCTGATGGAATACAGTGAAGATGGGAGCAATGAGAAGGATATTACATTTTATTTCATATGGTGATTGTAAACATTCATTCCAATCAAAATGCCCCAATAATAAGATAAGCTGAGATGAATCATTTCCAACATCATAAATGACTTTTTTATTGAATGACTTTTTTATTGTGATTTTGCTTTATGTATAATTAGCATTATTCTGATATGATGTATTTTATTTTATATGCTTTTTAATTTATGATGCCCCACTCTCCTTATGCTGCTCTTTGATCATAATAAATATTTGATTTGTTCTATGTGGCTTTGTTCAGTTTCAGCAGATTCTTCTAAAAAGAGTTATTTGTATCTGTGATTTACTGGCAGCTGTCTTAACCTGTGACCTTAATCAGGTTTTTAAATTATGCTTTCCTTTGCACAATCCCTTGGTTCTTCCTGTGAGGAGACCTAATGGGATAATTTAATGTGCTTCCCTTCAACAACTTATTGGGATTATTTTGATTTTTGATTAGCCAAAAAGTAGTAGCTGTAGTAGATTTTTTTTAACGATCCCTCTTAATTCTTATTATCCTTCCTTTCATTTCTAACACCATTGTGCTATATTATTGTTGTTCTTGATGTTAGGAAGGTTAGTCACAGTTTGGGAGTTATTCTAATCTCCTGACTCTATTCAGGTCTCTTCCATTTTGTTTCATACATTTTAGTATTTTTAATTAAACTTCACATTAGATTTTTGCCAATTATTTGTGCTTTGGAGTAAGGCTATCTGGCCCTAAGCCCATTATATTCTTCAGCTCATTTAATTTCCATCTTCCTTCTCCTCCAGGATGGATGATCTCCCATTTTGGAAAATAGAAATATTAGATATTTTATAAATCAGTTTCTATTCTTAGGCAGAAAGTTGGACCATAAGAAAGACTGAACGCCAAAGAATTGAGGCCTTTGAACTATGGTGCTGGAGAAGACTCCTTGCGAGTCCCCTGGACTGCAAGGCGATCAAACCGGTCAGTCCTAGAGGAGATCAACCCTGACTGCTCTTTAGAAGGCCAGATCCTGAAGTTGAAACTCAAGTAGTTTGGCCACCTAATGAGAAGGAAGGACTCACTGGAGAAGAGCCTAATGCTGGAAAAGATTGAGGGCAATAGAAGAAGGGGACGACAGAGAGTGAGGTGGCTGGATGGAGTCACTGAAGCAGTAGGCGTGAGCTTAAATGGACTCCAGAAGATGGTAGAGGACAGGAAGGCCTGGAGGAACATTGTCCATGGGGTCACGATGGGTCAGACACAATTTAGCAACTAACAACAAGATACAAAATGTAGGCAGATAAATTATTTTTATATAGAAATAAAATTAGAGATGAATTTTAATCACAGTTTTGAAACTTAGATTTCATGACACATATTGTTAAATCAAAGCTGCTAATGTGGCTATGCTTGCTATACAATATTTGTTTCTATGCATAACTTATTTTATGATCATTTTAAATTATATACTAGAGCGTGGCATAGAAATTATTTATATTCCTCATGTTTTTAGAAGGTCATGGAATCAGCTTTTTCCCAGAAACTTCTTGGTGGAATTGTAAGTTTGTCCCATTTCCAAATGATTGCCAAAAATAATGCTTTAGATCAATGCACAACACAGCCACTAAGGAAGAGAGAGAGAATATAAGGATTAGGATAATACACAGTTACTTATTTAAAGTTTCACAGAATTTACTATTGCAATATTTCCCCAATTTCTGGTAGAGACCTTTATGAACATCCAACCAAATTTATAATCATTTAATAGGTGTTCAGCAACTCATAGTCCTTTTACAGTCTCCAGGGCTCCTTTTGATTGCAGCGCCAGTATATGAGGTCTTTTTTATGAATTGTGCAGTCTTTTTTCTTCTGGTCATCAACTGCTATAATATCTCTTTGGTGAAGGCAGCTCTTTCTGTATTTTTCATTATTATTTTCTTAATTCTGTCTGAGTCCTGCCCTTCCCAGTGTTATTTGCAATAAACTCTCCCCAATTGCATCTATCCACTCTTATCAGGTCTGGCATAGCAAGACCTGTGGATTCTGCTTGCTAGGGAATTAGATCAATCTTCTAGGGCAGGGGTCCCCAACTTCTGGGCAGCAGCTCACCAGTGGGCTGTGAGGTGTTTGCAACTGGGCTGCAGAAATGGCAGGTGTGTGCGCGGGCGCACATGCGCATCCCCATGCATGAGTAGCAAGTCCCAGGAAGCAGGCCTTTTTTGCTATGTTTCCTGACTTGTAGAATCTTCTTCCCCTGCCTTACATGAGGTTAGCTCCATCCCTCTCAACATTTGTAAGCTGCTCAAGACCTGGCTATGTTATCATACAGGCCAGGGAGATCTTGTGATGGCCTCTGTGTTGTGATAAATATCATCCTCTCTTATTTTGTGTGCATTTTGATGGTTTTTTTTAATTGAGATTGCTTTTACGTATTTATTAAGTGCTGTATGCCACCCAGACTCACTTTCATGTAAAATAGGCAGCTATACAATTATGATAAACAAACTCTGGCATCCAAATCCATAGAGGGCTGATACAAAGATGCTACATCTTGAGTTTATTAACATTGATGTCTATACAGTGTCTTTCTTATATCTGCTAGCGGGGAAACTCTTTGGATTAAATCCAATATATTTTGTGTGGGCTGTTAATTTTTCTTGTTCTTACTGCTGATTATTAATTTAAATAAAGGTTGTTTCGGATATGGGTATGCGAGAGAGAAACAGTGGTCAAAATTTTAAACTTGATGTCTTTGGTTTCCTTGATGGTGTACTTGAGCCAGAATTGACTATAAAGGAAGGAACACACCCTCTAAAAATTAGGTTTAATTTTTGATGCTGCCCCCCAAATACATAAGTGTATATCTATCAGCTGATTATAACATGTGAGTTATAATCAGCCGATAGAAGAGTTTTCTATATTCTGAATTGTTTTTAGCAGTTTTCCCATATTTCTGGTAAGCATAATTGGAATAATTTAGCAGTTATAGTGATTTGATAATAATGCGTTATTATCACTCTGTAATGTTTTAGCCATACAGTACGAACAGTTTACTAAAGCAAATTTACCTCTGTCAAAGAAAGCTGAATTGTTCCATCCTTATCCTTATCTAGTATCTGAAATAGTAGCAGATGTTAGATTTAATGTGTGATAAGTAAAATGCATGATAAACCAAAAATTAAAAACTAAGGATAAATGGAGGTAATTAAAACCTGACCTTCAGAATCTGAGGTTCGATTACTTCTAGAATAGATAACATTTTATATGATAGTCATAGATGTTTGTATGGGGACAAACAAGCTGGAAGGTTTTCTCTACAACAGACATGTCAAACACAAGCCCCAGGGGCCGGATGCGGCCCGTGAAGTGGTTTCATGTGGCCTGCAAAGCCATCCTGGAAAGTGGACCATCACTTAACCATGAACCCGCAGTGTGCAGCAGCAGCCAAAAAAGCTAATACAATCCTGGGTTGTATAAAAAGAGGCATAGAATCAAGTTCATGCGAGGTATTAGTACCGCTTTATAAAACCCTAGTAGGACCACACCTGGAATACTGCAGCCAATTTTGGTCACCATATCACAAAAAAGATGTTGAGGGTTTGGGAAAAGAATTCAGAGAAGAGCAACTAAGATGTTCAAAGGCCTGGAGACTAAAACATACAAAGAACGGCTGCAGGACTTGGGTTTGGCTAGTCTAAAGAAAAGAAGAAATAGGGGAGACGTGATGGCCCGATGCCTGGAGGCCGTGAGGGTCTGGATGGGGAGGAACAGACTCAGACTCAACCCGTCCAAGACCGAGTGGCTGTGGTTGCCGGCGCCCCGGCATAGTCAGCTGACTCCATCGCTGACTATAGGGGGCGAAACTTTGGCCCCCTCAGATCGGGTCCGCAACTTGGGTGTTCTCCTGGATTCACGGTNCCTGAGGGATTTTAAAGGGGGTTTTAATTACTTTTAAATTGGACATATTTAAATATTTCGTTTTAATCAAATTTTAATTAAGTATATGTATATATGTTAGTATTTTATTCAATTGTCAGCCGCCCTGAGTCCGTAAGGAGAAGGGCGGGATATAAATGCAATTAATAAATAAATAAATAAATAAATAAATAAATAAATAGCAGTATTCCAGTATTTGAGGGGCTGCCACAAAGAAGAGGGGGGACACATTATTCACCAAAGCACCAGAGGGCAGGACAAAAAACAATGGCTGGAAACTGATCAAAGAGAGAAGCAACCTGGAATTAAGGAGAAACTTCCTGACAGTGAGGATAATTAACCAGTGGAACAGCTTGCCCCCAGAAATTGTGGGCGCTCCATCACTTGGTATTTTTAAAAAGAGGTTAGACAGTCACTTGTCTGAGATGGTATAGGTTCTCCTGCCTGAGCAGGGGCTGTACTAGATGACCTCCAAGGTCCCTTCCAACTCTATTCTATTCTATTCTATTCTATTCTATTCTATTCTATTCTATTCTAAAGTAAATTGGGTCAGACAGACTAATCAAAAGAACAAGTGTGATTTTATCCAATAACCAAAACTAAAAGACCCTGAGGAAGACGTTGCTCCTAATTTCAAATGTGGAGATCAGGCAGACCTTGGGCTTTAATCAAATTGACTCACTGATTTGTTCAAGTGGAAAACTTTTAACTTGGACGCCATAGTGTATACATGACATTCTGCGCATGTGTTATATAAATTCTCTGTCATGATTTCCCCTTTCTAAATATCCAAAAGCTTTTCCATATATTATAACAAATTGCTCTTCAATTGCAAATGTGTTGGACCTTCGAACTTTTAAAAAATAATACTGACTTTGGAATAAAATATTGCAATCAGTATCTTAGGCAAAAGCTATTCGTTTGATTGCAACTTTGTAAAAAAAAATAATGTGTTTTCAATGTGTGTCTGTATCTACTTTGCCAGATAAAATATATTTGGAGTCTTGTCCTGTTTATCTAATATTTCAAATAAAGACATTTCACAATAGTTTTCAATCACGGACAGGTATTTTTGTACTCAGGTGAAAAATCTTTCACCTTTTGGTAAAAATTCTTGCTGGGAGATGTAAAACAGTAGCAGTTTTTTTCTTTCTTCTTTCAAGAATACTTACTGAACAAGCATTCTAGACGAATAATACAGGCCACAAAGCCATCAAAGTCAATGGCCAGCTTGCTGCAGGCATAACGAATAATTATACTTTGCTGGATTTTGTTGCTGAGAGTGAAACCTGTGGAGAAGGAAAGCCCATAATTAAAACATGAGCATGTGATTGTGCTGATCCTCCATAATTTAATTCAGTCAGTTCAGTATAGTTTAGAACAATGTTTTTCAAAGTCAACCACTTTAAGATGTGTGAACCTCAACTCCTATAATTCCGCAGCCAGAATTTAAACAGATATTACTGGATTACTGATTATTCCTCCTGATAGGTGTGTATATTCTCAGCAAAATTATCCCCAATAGGAAGCTCTTCTGGTAATTTGGGACTGCAATTATTAGGACTTTCAGCCAGCCAGCCACTGACCCTGTTGATTTATTTTTACAAGTACTGAGGTATAATCCATCTAGAGCACAGGTGTCAAACTCGCCACATCACGTGACGTGTCGTGACGCATTGCAACTCTTTTTGCATTGCCGGCAATGGGGTGGGTGCGGCTTCGGTATGATGAAACCGGCCCGCAGGCCGGCAGTTTAACACCCTTGATCTAGACTCTAGAGGATACCAGGTTGAGGAAAATACGTTGATTTTAAAAGTAGATCAGTTGCTTACTGGGATTTGGTAAGATTTGGAAGCTTGTGAACAGAATGTTTACTTAAGTTTTATTCTTATCCCTAGGTTTTTTTTCCTCCATTGATTTTTGTTCACTAAATGCACCAGGAAAGAGGCATGAATAGGAAAACCTAAAAGAATGAATATATTTTATTAAATGTATTTTCATCAGCTGCAGGTCACTTCATTAAATGCACGGGATGGTGTCAGACTCCTCTGATTTTTGATTAGCATAAACTAATAGCATTCTTATACAATGTCCAAGAAAATGAAAATATTCTTGGGATAGATATACTGATGAAGATTCTCAGTCATCCAGATAAAATTGTCTGAATGTTGAGTCATGGCAACTGGACTTGTTTTCTTGTTGGTTTGAGACATTTTTCTGCTCATCCAAGCAGCTTCATCAGTTAGAGCAAGTCAGTTAGGCAGAGAGTCATTGTAATGTACCAACTCCTCCCACACCAACCTTAGGGGTCTTCCCCAAAGTGCATGGCAGACTTGCTCTGACTGATGAAGCTTCTTAGTTGAGCAATGAAACATCTCAAACCAACAAGAAAATAAGCCCAGTTGCCATGACTCAACTTTCAGTATTATTGGCATGCTTATTCTTAATTTATTATTTGATTTTCTTGATTGACAAATATTACTCAATTAATTTATTTCAAATATTGAAACAAACTTTGAATAGGTGATGTGTAATCCCTGGTGCAATTGCCCAGTTTCTTGAATCCAGTCCATGCCATGTCCACAAATTTGGGGATTCAGAGTCCGAGAAAAACAATGCTAGTGAAGATTTTCAGAGTATTAATCAGCTGTTATGCCTCAATAACTCTAGCTGCCAGTGCACTTCCTATATAAAGTTGAGCATTTTAGGAATAGAAGATGGTAGAGGACAGGAAGACCTGGAGGAACGTTGTCCATGGGGTCGCGATGGGTCGGACACGACTTCGCAATTAACAACAACAACAACAACAGGAAGATTGCTCTATAATATAAATTTTATCTCACATTTTTTGTTCTGAACCAGTCATGGACCTTATACTCCCTCATCAAGTCTTGAAGAGGAGTGCATCATAAGCTACTTCACAGGATCTTCCCTGTTCTTCTGTATGAAGGATAAGTACCTACTGTAATTAGAGTAGCTTTGATAAATTCAGTTCAGTGAAATGGGACCTCTGGTTGCAGGGAGACAGTTTCATACAAAACATACTTTTTCCAGCATTTGAAGCTTAATTTAAGTGCCAATTGCAGCTATCATTTGCTGGTCTAGATGGATATATGTACATACTGAAAATCAGCATTTTTCCTCTGGAGTATTTTTTTTGTTTACCCTGAATGGATACTTTTTCCCCTGTACAAAGAGTTCTGAGGCACTTTGAAGATAAAATACCATTAGCTGTTAGGGCCTAGCTGGAATCCAATGCATGAATTATTCTTCTTAGTTGGCAGAAATATATACTTCTAATTGATCCAATGGTTATGATATATAAAGTTACAATATATTTCCATTCTGTCATTCTGTTCCAGGCATTAATTCAAGGATAAGTGGAACAGGGCCACTCAGGCTGGCCCTGCATCCCAATATGCACTGATTTGTTGAGCTGAATTTAAATATGAGGTGGAGGTTTATTGCCACTATACAGAAGAAAGTGCACAAGAAAAGTAAGCAGAACCAATGCATGGTTATTGCTTTCAGCATTTGTTGCATATCATACTAGAAGTTTATTTCACTGAAACCAAGGTAGTTGTTTTCAATGCATGATATAATGGTACATATGAAAACCAAGTGCAATAAAAAGTTTAATAAAGTATCATATCTCTTTAAAAAGCTCCTAATTATTAAAGTCTCTTATGATGAGCTTCAGAATGAGGCTGATGGATGATAATGGCATGTTCTGAATTCATAAGGAGACACATGGGCTTCTGCAGAGGCAGGCAAGCGATAAAATGCATGTGGGAAATGACTGGCCGTGCATTTTGATAACTACACAGAATTCCTTTGTATATGAAAGGCCCTGATCCAGAGATCCATATATACAGTTCTGTGCAAGTGTGGGTTGTATCTTCCAAGTTGTTTAAATAACAAAACAGCACATCTGCGGAAGAGGAGAGCAGCTGGAGAACAGCAGAAAAAGGTCAGCTTTATAGGAAAATCTACAGAAAATATTCTTGGTGCAAGTAAGTATGTCCCCTAGTGTCCTATCTATGATTACATTAGGAAAAAACATTGATGATAGGCAAACTTAAAGGATCATATGCAGAATGAATGAATTACCTTTTCATGGACACGATGCCATTTATTAGCAGTTAATTTGCCCTTTTTTAACCTCAAAAATGTGTATGTTCTAAATTGTAGTATTGGTTTTAATTTAGCTTAACTTCTTTATATGTTGCATTTCTTTTTAGTATTACTATGGTTGGTTGCATAGTCAGCCAGATATTTAGACTGGATCTGGCATTTTTATCCACCTGTCAAATCATAGGATACGGAGATAATAATGAAAATGTGCTAGGTTATTATGATCTAAAGTCATTACAATAAATATACATCCCAGAATTATTTCCAAATCAGTTGTCAATGAGAAAATATTTCCTGGAGAGAAAAGGACGGGGGAAGCTGACCTGCTTCCTTGAGAGCATTTCTCATTTCATGTACATCTATGGTTCCAGAATAATTTGTAGCTAGTTTTTTATAGATTTCCTAGACCAAAAGAGAGAGAGAGGGAGACAAGCTACTGTTAGCTCTTTCAGTCTAATTGTTGTTATCTCAGCTCAACTAAAATATTAATGGCTGGTCCAGCCAGGCAGGAGAGATAGTTGTTTCTGTTAAGACTGAATGGGGAAAAGAGGATTCAATTACCTCATGACAAGCTGTGTGTCCTGGGAAGTGATTCCTATAACTCAAGTTGCTTACAAGTCAGATGATGACTTGTAAAAAATAAGCCTTTGAGAAATAATCCCTTTCTCTGCCAAAGACTGTGATGTGGAACTGAGGAACAATAAACTCTTGTTTCCCCAGATTTCTTCTCCAAATAGATATTTAAAAGCTATTCTGACCTATTAACTTATTTTGCACTGGTATACTAAATCAGGGGTTCTCAACCTTGGCAACTTTAAGACTTGTGGACTTCAACTCCCAGAATTCCTGGGAGTTGGCTGAGGAATTCTGAGGAATTCTGAGGAATTCTGGGAGTTGAAGTCCACAAGTCTTAAAGTTGCCAAGGTTGAGAACCCCTGTACTAAATCACCAAATTACTGATGATGTGTGTTGTCCTGCCAAAGTTTCATAGGATTTAACCAAGTTGTCAGCTGATCTGCAAAAATTAGCAACACAGGTAATTTCCTACCCTCTCTTGCTGAACTGAGTGTCAGATGTAAGACAACTCTACTGGATTTGGAAACAAAACTAATAAGATTTTATTCATAGTGTGAATAAAATGCATATCTCAGAACTACATGCTTATCTCAAATTACTACTTTACTGCTCAGATTTTTTCCCCAGTTTAAATAATTATCAAAGATAACATCATATTTAGAAAGGATTAGTTTGCTTTTTACCAGATATTTCTGAATCTTCATCCAAAGGATCTTGAATTCTACAAATCTCAGGGTACCATTTCCATCATTCTGGATAGTGTTAAGGTCTACTTCAAAATTTCAAATACATTTCTCTTAATGTTTTTTTTACATTCTTTCTTAAGCAAGAAATTCTGATCCCGATAAAAATGCATAGTTCATGCAGGCACATAAATCTGTAGTTTCACCACATGTAAAACAACACATTTCCTATTGCTACCTTTTAAAATAAAAATGGGTTGATCAGACCTGGACTCAATTTGAAAAATGATTGTAGTGTTGTAGAACCACATGGATTGTATTTGGGGGACAGTAAGAACCTACCACTTCCTGAAAATCTTTTGGTAAAAGACAAAGGTTAAAATCTACTTTCTAGATGCTCAAATCCATTTGGAAATTATCAGATTAGAAAACTGGTTTAGGAATAATGATTACAATTACTCAGGTGAACCTGAGGACACAGATAAACTTCCAAGTGACCTCAACAACTCTCTAAAAGAATGCAAATGACCAGCTGTCTGCAAGGAATATAAATCCTTCCATTCCCCACCATCCAGTTGGAGCTGAAGAAGCTTCTTGGATGAGAAGCGAAACATTTTCAAAGAGAAAACAAGAAAGTCCCGTTGCCCCTTGAAAAAGCACCTGGATGACCGAGAATCTCCATATGGTTACATTCTGTTACTATATTGATGTCCAAAATAACAAGTGAACTACTAGAACTGCTTTTGATTTTTCAGACCTCTCTGTATATTTTTATTATGTACGCAAAAAAAGAGTATATATGCCATGAACATTTAGATTATGCACAACAACACAGGTAACTGAAGTTAATGCACAAGAGATTATTGCAGAATTCAGGCAGAGCAAGAAAACAATCATGCAGCTGATAGTAAAGTTTTACTATCCTTGCTACCTGGCTGTTTAAATCAGTATTCTACTCTACATTTTATGCCAATAGCAAGTGAAGACAAATGCACCAGAAATGAGATGTGTAAATCTTGGCATATCTAGGCAAAAGTTCACAAGGGAAATCCAGTGGAGAAGGGTGACATTTAAAAGATACATCTAAGAGACTGATCATCTCCCTGCAGGTGTTTATGTTGAATCTATCACTTTTAATGTCTGTTCCTATACAATAAAAGAGACAAAAAATGTTATTCAAATATTTTTCTGCATCCCATGGTAACACAAGATTTTCAGGCATGTCAATCTCTCCAGTTGAAGCAAAAAAAAAGCCTTTATTTTTATTAGCTCATTTTGAAGAAAAATACCTTTCAGAAGAAAGATCACATGAGTACTGGTGTCAAGACAGTTATCTAGCAATTTCCGATTTCATTACAAAAAGTTTTTAACATTTTTATCAGTAACTTTAACAAAAACAAAAGGAATTTGAAAAGGTGACCTAGAAAAAATGTACCTTGATTGATTGTGAGTGTGTGTGTGTTTGTGTGTGCGTGTAAAATAGCTACCTTTCTGTCTTGCCAAACAAACTGAGACTAGGGGCCAGATTAGGAATATATACCCCAATGGCTGAGATACGGCTTTTTGTCACACACACAGACAACTCACCCCCTCCCAATTATAGAAAAGTGATTTGGTTCTTTAAAGAGAAACAGAAGCTGTATGCTGAATCTGGAAAAACAGAAGCTGTATGCTGAATCTGTATGCTGAATCTGTCACCCTAGTACTCTCAGAAATAACTCACTGGAATCCCAGAAACCAAGAAGTCCAGGAAAGGTGAATTAGAAGAACAGATGTTTTGAGGAGCATTATTTTTGAAGGACATTAGTAACTGGGAATTTGTGTTAGATGACGACTAATATGTACAATTTCAAGGCTATCTGCCTTCTTGGTTCTGGGTGGCTTACAAATAAAAGAGAAATATTACATATAACAAGAGAAACCCTATAGCCAAGAAGCAAGTTAATTTTATATTAGCCTGGAGTGACTAGTAGGATGTTATACTATAATCTGTTCAGAAGGTTCTTTTAAAATACTATGTCATGTTTTAAAAGGTCAGAGTCATTTTAGAGTCTTTAAAATCAAAAAGGGTGCTTGAGGGATCAGGGAGTGGTTCTATGTCACTCCTGGAAATTCTGCACTATTTCCTGAAAATCAGTTGCAACTTACTTTTTGTTATGACTTTATTCAAAATAGTCTGAAGTTCATCTGCAGTCAATTCACACTCCTGCATAAAAGAGGAAAAGTAGAGATCAAAGAGATGTACATACAATAAAAAGCAACACAGCTGTGGCCATCAAACCCTTACCCTTTGGCTAAATTTCAATCTGAAACAGCACTACAGGAAGATTCTGTAGTCAGCCAGAATCAAGTTTCATTTAATACTCCCAAATCCATTTCCTTGCAGCTAGGATCCATCAACTAAATGAGCTTTGCACATATATTGGTAGATCCTCCTAGTCAGAAAAGCTGGAGATTTCAGAAACCGCCTTGGTTTCTGAAATCTCCAGCTTTTCTGACTAGGAGGATCTACCAATTTATGTGGGAAGCTCATTTAATTGATGGATCCTAGCTGCAAGGAAATGGATGCTTTATTTCTGTAGGTTGGATGAATGTATGCAGACCTTTTGCCATGAAGATGTCACACTCATGTTACTTATGGGAACAGCTCTATATTCATATTTGTCAAGGATATGTATATATACATACAATATTTGCAAGGTAAGGCTGCTTTAACAGCCTTGGCTTACTGGAGATTGGTATTACAATGCTACATTGCTTTGTCTGACTCATAGACTATTTGCTGAATGAATATGTCAATTAAAAACTAGTCAACTGGACATCATGATAGGCTTTTTTTTCCAGTCCAGTCCAACAGATAAATATACTGTTCAGGATTCAGTCCAGGCAAGCAGCTTCCTGAACTGAATCCCAAACGAAGCTGTTTCCTTTCCATAATGTTTCACACAACATGCATGCAAACATACATGCATCCATCAATATGCCAAATAAGATGTGATATCTTTCAGAATACTTTTTCCAAATTTCTCCCTCACCCTTACCTTTTTCCCTACTTGGAAGTTTGAAAGAAAAGCAGAAGCAGTGCAAATATTGATTAATGACAGAAAGAATATTTACAGAAAAAACTGGATTTACGAAATCATAATCAGAGAAAAGGTTAATCAATTCTTCTTAACCATAATTTCTCTGGTCCATTTGCTCTCCCCTGAAGTTAATTCTCTCACTAAAAATTATAGTAGTTAGGCTAATAGGTCGTGTAACAATTTGGCAGAATTCTGCTCAGGCTGGTTGATAAAGGACTACCACTAGATGAATAAATGTGGGAAAGACCCTAGTAAGGGGTCCCCAACCCCCAGTCCGTGGACTGGCACTAGTCTGAGGTATGCCAGCAACCAGTCTGCACAAACAAGCCCCCATCTGTGAGATGCAGGCAGCATACAAATCCATACGCCCTCCGGTCCACAGAAAAACCTTTCTCCACAAACTGGTCCCTGGTGCCCAAAAGGTTGGGGGCTGCTGCCCTAATGGATGACTAAAAGGGGCAGTGCTGAGTGCAATTGGCCGCTGTACTAATGAGATTAGAGACTTGAAGTTATAGTGCTCTGGGGTAGTATCCACACAGAAAGTGTATTAGCTACCATCGGGGGTTTTTTTTTTTCATAGAATGCCCAGAACGGAGTTCCGGCACCTTTTTTGGATGGAACCTTGTGGGGTAGGCAAGGCAGGTTGTATGATGTGTGTGAGTTCTGGCACCTTTTTTTTTTTTTTTTTAAGAAAAAAAGCACTGGCTACCATTTGTTTCCAAGTGCAGTTCAGGCTGCTGGTTGTCAATGCTATCAATGCTCAGTGTGTGGCTGTCTTATTCCCCCAAATAAATTCTGAGCACCAAATCAGATTAATAGAGGAGGCTTGCTAACAGTCTCTTCCAAACAGCGGGGTACGACAAGAGGAGGCCATTCTCAGTGATTGTTTGGAACAACTTATCCTCCAAAGAAAAAATGGCCCCAAGAAAAGAATAGCCTTTGGAGATGAGGAGCTGAAATAGGAATTGCATCATTGGTGGACACTGTTTTGTGGTTTCTTTTGTATTTTATTGTGATTATTTGTATTGCATGGTATTTACGTTTTCTAGGAGTGAGGCAGTTGATAAATCTTATCATTCAATAAATAAATCTTATGGCCACATAACCCTTTGGATGTGAAGGTGTGCAGAGGTTGCCTGCATCTCCTGGGACACACATTGTCCCTGGATTGTGCTATAACCGCAGTGGGGATCCAGAAAAGGGTGCAGTTGCTTTAAGAAGTGTCAGAGAGTTGCTACATGAATCCCCCCAAAGTTACTTTTGCTTTCACATCCAAAGCACTCTGTCACTCTATTAAGCAAAGCAAATGAAGGATGATTTTATGATATCACTATAAAAACTGATTGATATGAATTAATAATACAAATCTATTAATTCAAAGTTCAAAAATATACTATTTAACTAATCTTAATATACATTTATATCTTTGTCTCTTACCTCCCTAGAAAGCTTTTGGAACACACTTTTGAACTCATCTGTATCCTTGCCTGTAACTTGAGGCTAAAAGAGAAGATATTGTAAACAGAATATTTTTACTAAAGAAGGTGACGGTTCTAGTGAAGAACACTGAGGCATTTTGACTAAGCAGGTATATAGCTTGCAGGAAACATTCTCAGAGAGTATATGGCTAAAACAGCCCAATTTGATTTTAATGATGTATTTTATATAGTACATGTTAGCTTATACCTAGCTTTGTTCATTTCTAGGCTGCCTAGCTGATATCTCTTCTATTTTCTATCCTTTAGGGTATTTCAATAAGGAGGAAAACAATTTTGACTGAGAAAAGTGAATTATAATTCCAAAAAGTATTTGCTACGAAATCCCATAAAACAGGGTATCCCAAAATTTGTGGTATCAATTTAATTTTTGTGAAAACCGACTTATATAAATATAGATGGCAGCAGCCATGCAAGCATGCTATTTTTATCAATGGCTTCCCAAAGTGGCGAGCTTGGCACCATCTCCTCTTCCTGGCTCTGAAGCACCCTCACCCAGGCCTGACCCCCCCCCCTCTTCCCTGTCAGCCATTTACATGCATAGTCACTAGTTCCTATATTTCCTTGATTCAGATGCTGCAGTCTCTACCCACCTGCCTTTCAACACTTATGGACACCGAAAAATTTAAGGAGACTCCTCCCTATATTTGTTCATCCCATCCACCCAGATGCAGGACCCACCAGAAAGTTTTGAAAATAGCACTTGTTGCAATTTAACACAATTTCTTTACCTTCGAGAAATGCAAGTCTGGATATATCTCTCATAGTCCATTAAAAACAAAACTAGGGCTGACATGTTTCTATGCCAGCCTTTTAATCTTCCAGTTTCCTTTTCTAATAAAGAGTTCTTAGATTTGGCTTGATAAAGTGATTTCTTTTATATGGACTTCAAAGTAAACATGTTAATTTGATTCTGCTTAATTTATTTACCTCATATGGATTAGCAGTGGCAGTGTGCCCAATTTCTCTGTAATTAAGAAAAATGTTGCAATTATGGTGACTTATAGTTTCAAAAAGAAATAAAATTAAATAAAAACAAGCTACAAACTTGAAATATATAATCCATGAATTTCAAAGCCAATTTAAAAGAATAGTAGAATGTCATGTGAGAATGACTATTAAAATATTCAATCTTTGGCTCTGGATGTTACAGAGTTAGTCTGTAATCTGGGGATAGTCCTGGCTTCACAGCTCTTGCTTGAGGAGCAGGTGAGAGCCTCAGCAAAGAGGGACTTTGTGCCATTTATGGGCTTTTCCTGGGTTGGCATTGCTTACTGAATTATTACAGCTCGCCCTTCATGGGACTGCTTAGGTAATCCAGCATGTAGTAGTTCATACAATTATGTCCATCATTTGATTTGGCCCTGTGAACCTCTGTTCTGACTGAGAACTGCACTACTTGCCAGTTTGTTGCCTGGTTCAAATCAAAGGGCTGTTGGTACTTTTAAAGCCCTTCATTTCAGGACTTTGGCATCCATGGGACCACCTTCTCCTAGAGATAATAATAATAATAATAATAATAATAATAATAATAATAATAATAATAATAATAATAATAATAATAATAATAATAATAATAATAATAATAATAATAATAATAATAATGATAAAGTTGGAAGGGACCTCGGAGGTCATTGAGTCCAACCCCCTGCTCAGGCAGGAAACCCTATACCATTTCAGAAAAATGGCTGTCCAGTCTCTTCTTTAAAACTTCCAGTGTTGGAGCATTCACCGCTTCTGGAGGCAGGTTGTTCCACTGGTTAATTGTTCTAACTGTCAGGAAGTTTCTCCTTAGTTCTAGGTTGCTTCTTTCCTTGGTTAGTTTCCACCCGTTGCTTCTTGTCCTGTCTTCAGGCGCTTTGGAGAATAGCTTGACTCCCTCTTCTTTGTGGCAGCCCCTAAGATATTGGAACACTGCTATCATGTCCCCCCTCGTCCTTCTCTTCGTTAAACTGATCCCTGCCCATCAGTTATGATCTCTAAGAGTGGGCTTCTTTTGTCCTGACCCTCAGAGAATGTCATGTACAAGCACTCCACAGAAGGTTTTTTCCCATCATTATCTCTTTTTCTGGAATATTATTCTCCTGATATAGCCTTTCAGAAAGCATTTAAGACCTTTTTGTTCAATGGGCCTTTGAACAAGGATGTATTTGTTTCCTTTCTGGAAGGTGAATGTTTATATCGATTTGTCTAAATCAGTGTTTCTCAACCTCAGAAATTTAGCAAGCCCACATATCTTCATGTTGCTAAGGCTGAGAAACACTGGCCAAAATATTTGAAATTGTTGGTGTTTCTAGTTCTTAAATGATTCAATATGAGAGTCATATAATTAGCATATAAATCTAGTTCAACAAACAAGCAAGTAAAGAAGCTGATGTCACCATCTAAAATGCATCAGAAAGCCCTGAACATATTCTAGATCTGTTGTGCCACCTATGCCATCTATGTTGCCTGACTTCAAAGCTGAATGAGAAAAAATAGGATCTGAAAACACTCCATCCCTTCCTGAAAGAAGGCAGCAGGGTAAGGAAGACTGCCAAAGATTCTTGCAATGTTGCCTTCTCTGTATATATTTGCCTGAAGTTAAGTTTCTTTTCTGATGCCCTTCGTGAGGCTCTCAAGAAAAGGATTTTCTCAGTGATCACAACATAATGGAGGTTAAACTTTCTAAGCAAGAATTACCTGACATTTCCTACAGGGTTGTTTTAGTAAACTAACTCTAATTTTGTTTGCGATCTTGAAAAGTGAATTGTTAGCAATGTGTATGTTTGGTACAATGTATTTGGTTTAAGGTCTCCATTAGATTTTTCTTCAAAGCTATAATTGTTTTAATTATATTTTTGCTGTTGTATTTTGTTCATTTTATTTTTGAGTCATCCTGAAAATTATGGATATAAATACCTTGAAAAAAATAAAATAGCCATTGTCAAATTTTATCATTCCTACTTAATACTAGTGTGCTCAACTGCCAGTTTGCCTTTCTTGCTACCTATAATTTCCATCTAAATATAGACTTAACTTTTCACTCTAGTCCAAAAAAATAACTTTTCTCAAGTAATTGTATAGTCAGAAGGAAGAGTCTGAACAGTTCAGTTAAAGGAAATTGTAATATTTTTCTTAATTTTTAAATAAGTTGGAAACTAAAACTGTTATCTTAATTCAAGAGGGGGCAGGGTGCTCTTTAGAGCTCTCCGCTCTCACTTTTCCTTTCCAATTTATTTTACATCTCCTTTCCTACAGATCAGAGTGACTTTGCTCTCTCCTCTTCTGGTTCTCAGCATTTTTGTGCTCACTCTCCCGTTACCTTGTAGTTCAGTGTGCTTTTTTATCATCTTTCTACCCCAAACTGTTCTAACTGTGAGGATGCATCTCTCAGTTCTTTATAGAAGAGATGGGAAAAAGGTAATGAAGACTGATAGAAAGGGATGCTTTAGCAACATAAAATTCCTTGTAAATTCCTTTTCGATTTGTATGTATTAATAAATTGAGAATGATCGTTGCCCAGCTCTCAGGTTCACCCCACTAACTTTTTATTTATAACTGTAATCTCTGTGATGGAAGAACTTGATTAAATAGCCTTCACTCTCAAGTGCAAGAATTGGGACCCCATGGTCTTCTAGATAACTCACATGACAAACCCCGCTATTCAGACTGCTGGCCATACTGGCTGGACTTTATAGGAATTAGAATTCAGTTATATCTGGAGACCACAGATGAAGCACTCCCTTCCAAATGCACATATATTAAACAACCTACTACTTGACAAGATAGAAAAATGTGGGGTAGAAAGCACCACCACCAGATGGCTCCGTAGCTGGCTGACCGGCCGTACTCAGCGGGTGGTCCTCAATGGAACCGCATCTACATGGAGGGAAGTGTGTAGTGGGGTGCCCCAGGGTTCTGTTCTGGGCCCAGTGCTCTTCAATATCTATATCAACGATTTGGACGAGGGAATAGATGGGGAACTCATCAAATTTGCAGACGACACCAAGCTGGCAGGAATAGCCAACACTCCAGAAGACAGGCTTAAGATACAGAAGGATCTGGACAGACTTGAACACTGGGCACTATCTAACAAAATGAAATTCAATGGTGAAAAAAGCAAGGTTCTACATTTAGGCAAGAAAAAACAAATGTAGTATAGGGGGTACCTTGCTCAATAGTAGTAACTGTGAGAGGGATCTTGGAGTCCTAGTGGACAATCACCTAGTGGACAATCACCTAAATATGAGCCAGCAGTGTGCTGCAGCTGCCAAAAAGGCCAACACAGTGCTAGGCTGCATTAACAGAGGGATAGAATCAAGATCACGTGAAGTGTTAATACTACTTTACAATGCCTTGTTACGGCCACACTTGGAATACTGCATCCAGTTTTGGTCACCGTGATGTAAAATAGATGTTGAGACTCTAGAAAGAGTACAGAGAAGAGCAACAAAGATGATTAGGGGACTGGAGGCTAAAGCATATAAGGAATGGTTGCTGGAATTGGGTATGTCTAGTTTAATGAAGAGAAGGACGAGGGGGGACATGATAGCAGTGTTCCAATATCTCAGGGGCTGCCACAAAGAAGAAGGTGTCAAGCTATTTTCCAAGGCGCCTCAAGGCAGGACAAGAAGCAACGGGTGGAAACTAATCAAGGAGAGAAGCAACCTAGAACTAAGGAGAAACTTCCTGACAATTAGAACAATTAACCAGTGGAACAACCTGCCTCCAGAAGCGGTGAATGCTCCAACACTGGAGGCTTTTAAGAAGAGACTGGACAGCCATTTGTCCGAAATGGTATAGGGTTTCCTGCCTAAGCAGGGGGTTGGACTAGATGACCTTCCAAGGTCCCTTCCAACTTTACTATTATTATTATTATTTCCATGCAAAATGGCATGACATTTTTTGGCGTGTGGTGGTAGAAGATACATACAGAACTTTAATCTGTTTCACAGAGAAGATCCTAAGGCAAAACTGTCCATCTTTGAAATGATCATAGGTGTAGGGCACAATAAGATATTCGCCATGGGGTAGGTGGAAGCGACTTGATGCTTCACGCAATTTGATGGCTAAATGAGCTACAGGTTTATTTGTTGAAAAGAACTCTCTGCTTAGATGAGCATCGGCTTGATTTTTTAACTAAAGAGAACAATAAGAGTGAAAACATTAATTGCACACAAGAATCAAAATAGAGTGCATGACAAATATTCCTTTCAAGCAGGTAGATAAGTGATCATGCTGGGACTTCCTTATATAACTTGTCCTACTTACGGTACATATACTGGCAGACCTTTGCTTCATCTTACATATTTTACCTTACTGGACTTCAAGCATGATTGACTAAAGTTGAATATGACTGCAGTTGACGATGTTGCCTCTTTTTTTTGGGTTGGAAAACTGAATTCAACATGTAACTTAAGTCTTATTTTAATCAAATATAGCCAACATCATATTATAGAAATCTCCCTAGAGAAAGTCTGGATGGTAGGAGTACTAAACCCGGGCTATTGTAATCTATATGAACACTGGAATATTGATATGCTTTTTTATGTCTGTTTGCAATCATCTAGAAGTTATCTAGATTTTTATACCCTGGTTCTGGTAGCTCTAAGATGACTTCCATATTTTCAAGATTTAGGCTACAAATAAAAACTTATCTACATATCTGTCTACTTGGGATTTTGAGTACTATTGTTCTTTCAGTTGACAGTGTTATTGGTTGGTAAATGTGTTTTTCTCTCAGGCTTTTGATGGTTACATCCTAGTTCTGTACATCTATTGTCTTGCATACCATTCTGGGCTCATTTTAAAAAACAAAGTGATTGTTTATTATCATTATTGGTAATAACAATACTGAAATCAAATATTTTGGTATTTGGCTGTGTTGTTTTGGCCAGCTGTAATAGCATATAGTTTGTCTCATAATATTCTGCAATGTTTGTTTCTACACCATTTTTCTTTACCATCATTCAATCATTTTCTTCTTACAGAATGATGAATCAGAACAAATTGCAAGTTTATAGAAAATGTGAGATGATTTTTACAGACTGCAGAAATACTTTCTCTTGTGAAAATGTTAAAACAGCCATTTTCAAAGCTGATTTTTTTGACACACTTTCCTTTGACTTAAATCTCATCCAATCAACAAAGTATTTTATATTATCTACTAATTAGGGCCACATAATTACCCCATTTGATAAATTAGATCAGGAGAGTCAATTACATGAGGGTAAGGTACTTATGTTATTATGGTACCCCTTCTCCCATCCCTGCAGATAGTACTGTATTAGGCATTTAAATTAGACACAACATTCAATACTAGTTTATGCATTACACTTTTTTGCCATAATCATAATACAGAATATAGCTACTATGATTTCGTGGCATGCTTCAGTATACAGTGCTAGTGCATAATTAGTATAAAGCAAAGTTTTGACTTTTGCTTCTAGAGCATATCGGGCCTTTTCCCTTCTCCTCTTCTTAGTCAAAAATAAATATGCTTAAGAGAGAAAGGTTAGGGAAATAGTTGCCTGCATAACTTTATGTTGTACTTTCTGCACTGTTGGATATGCATCTGAACAAACTTACAAACCATATTTCATATTTTCCCAAGAAATATGAATTGTCTTCATATATCACCCAGTCAATTTTCTGTCTAAACAGGGATGTCAAACTGCCAGCCTGCGGGCCGGACACATCACACAGAAGCCGCGGCCACCCCATTGCCGGCAATGGCAAAACCGTCCCGATACGTTGCATGATGTCACATGACGTCACAAGTTTGACATGTCTGGTCTAGAAGCATCAACATTTAAGAAGATGATTAAAATAGACCTGGCAAGGTGTAGCCATTTTTCATGATTCAAATTTCCAAAATAGTGTTACCTCTTTGGGCACCTAAAAGACATAAAAGTGATCAGTTGAAAGATAGCAGTATTGCCTTTATCACAAATAGCCAGACAATAAAATACAACATGCCACCCTATATAATACAGCATTTTCTAATCTGCTGTTCTCCAAATGTGTTAGATTTCAATTTCTATAATCTCCCAAAGCATAACCACAGACTATTGGAACTCAAAATCAATACATCTGGGGGACAGCAAAATCAATACAATCTGAGGGACAGTATCTGAGAAGCTGAATATTGTACTTCCTTTTCCCCAAATCTTTTTTTTTTTTTAAAAAAAATCTTTCTTGAGTGAAAGGAGTGAGACACAGCAAATAAAATGTGTGTTTGGTGGAAAAGGGATGTATGTGTATCTTCCTTTGTGAAAATGAGCAAGAATGCACTGGTCTACACACCAGCAGTCCAGACCTGGTACCATTTACCATCCCAAGCTGCCCTAATTGGCATGTTGGCCAGAATCCTGTACAGTATTGGTCTGGGGGCAAAAATAATATCCTAGGAAGTAAAATAACAAGAACCTGATAAATAGCGTAGCCAATCTTGAGGAGCCCTTCCCCTTCCTCTTCAGTCATCTGCGATTTTTCTGCATCAAACCTACTAACCTCGTGCAACAAGGCTCACATGCACTTGCTTCCCAATCATCATCCAGCTCCTCCAATTTGATTTTAAGCTGGGGGTTGGTCCAATATGTATCTACAGAGACCAAAATATAAATACAGATAAAATTGTCAGATTTAGGAAACGAACTGTGCTGAACTACTAATGCTCACTCTTGCTAGAACTGCAAGAATAGCTTTGAGGTGTGAACCTAATTGTGATTTCCAGCTTGGCCTTACCATTATATTTATACAGTTAATGTTCCTTTCTTCCACCTCTGCCACATGCTGTGCTATATATTTATTGCAATAAGCAAAAGCCAATTGAACTACTGAGAGATATTTCCTAAGGGAGCAATAAGTAGCTGAGAACAGCTATGGTTATTAACCTCAGCCAGTTATTTATCCACTAAAGATTATTATTGGCAAACCCTGTAGGGCTTAATATATATACATATACATTCCATATATATACAGTTGTGGCTTTGTGGCTCCACATTACATACAAAAATACAACATGACTTATCAGGGATCTGGAAAGGAATATTGTTAGCATTTAGTATCCAATAATGTAAGTGCCCAATAATGTAAGAGATGACATGTACTGTATATGCAGGGAGGGCTTCTCTATGATGATAGGTCTCCAATGGTCACTGTGAGCATTACATATTCGTTTATTTCATGAGATCAGGTTGAGGATCAGTGTACGTAGAATCTAAAGTCTGAAAGCACTGTTACCTTTCCATCAATAATGTCTCCAGGAACAATGCTGCAATTTTTGCACCTTTTTCCCCTTTGAAAGAGGTAGTGATGGCGGTTTTAAGTAAAATGGGTGCATTTGTCCTATCAGCATGATTTTGGTCAGATTACCTTGTCTGTGTTTGCCCACTTCTGTTCCAGGGTATGAAGAACTTGACAGAGTTGGATGAAATGCGGAGAACTAGATTTTAAATAAAGATTTTTCTTAGATATCTGCCGGCCGCAAGTCATGCCTGAACTCTCACCTGATTCTATCAGGGTCTTTATGAAATTCATTTGTGAAGCATCAAAAGAGCTTTTATTTTATTTATTAAACTTCTATGACATCCATCTCACCAAGGCAAAAAAAAATGGCAGTATCATGAAACTTTAGAAAAGATTTAGGGAGGCATCTCTACATCTGTCCTTTCCTCAAGTACCCACAGTCACATTCCAGTGAAAATTAAAGATCACCCATGGCTACTGATGCTTTCTTTGCTGGATTCAATCAAAAAAGAAATCATCCAAGACTTGGCTGGATGGTAGAAGGTTGAAGGGTAAGGCAAAACATCTGATCCCTCAATTTGTTGTCCAGAGGCTAGGCCCTGTGCTGGCTCAATGGGAGCATTTGGTCACTAATGCATTGAGAAAGACAGTTTAGCAAAGCCTGTGCCTTATTGTTGTATAGCTTAATAAATTAATTCAGTTACCTGGATTTGCACAACACAATGGATCATAATCATACCAGCTAGTTTACACAACACATCATAAATTAGATAACTCCATGTTAGCCCAATATATTATGCAAACACAGCCAATGTATCTAAACCTTTAATAGATGGAAACATCATTATTAAAGTTATGGGCATTTTTCTACCATTGACTTCTCATTTCCAAGTGCCATATTATCATTTTCATACATTAAATAGTTTACGAACTCTAGCAAATATGCATATATCAGAAGTTGAAGGATTTGATCATTAAACCATGATGAAAGCCATAAAGCTTTCTAAAACTATTTATTTATAGTAGCAGACGTAACCAAGGATTGGCTGTTTACAACTGAGATCATATTTTTATAATCCATTTTGAAATCATTTTAAATGTTTAATTAACATGCCATGTTGCTATTTGTTTTGATTATATATTTGAGCTAGAGTCCCAAACAGCAAATGATTTAGAGATTAATTTAGCATTAGATAAATAAAAATGAAACTGTTTTGCTAGATGGTTGAAATATGCAGCTATAATGTTACATGTTGTGGACTGGTAATTTTTGACTGCAATTATAATTATATCAAAAACTGAATGGGGCATAGAAATAAAATTTAAACACTTTGACAGATGAGAACAAACACGGAAAGCAATAAAAAATAGCACACAGGAACAGTATGGAGATTCTTAAAAGCCAGGATGTATAAAATCCCTGAGTAATCAGGAGTGAGTCAGGATACATATATATTGTGAACTTTTTATATTGTGAACCTTTTATATTACCTAATCACAGCCAAAATTTAGGTCGCAATTTGAGCTCTCAGTAGTTATTGTACATCATTGTGTGTTGCCATTCCTCCCCAAAGAGTTTTCTTATCAATGACACAAAGGCTGCATGAACCTTGACGGCAGGCTGGTTTCATCAAGCCAAAAGAGGCAGATATAATAAAGCACTTGGGGAATTCATTCTAAAGATCCAGGCAGCAGGATTCAGTACCCTATTCTCTGTGTCACTAGATGTGCTTGCAAGCTTAAGGAATTACTGGCTTAGCCTTTGTATGCTTCTCCATTATTCTTATAATGATCAGAGGACGTTGTGCAGCTCATCAGCTCAGTAAACTTCAGAGACGTTAGAGACTCTTATGGTATTTGGTTAGCAACAATTCACACTCTCTCCCTTGCTTGCTGGGCTCAAAAAATAGGGTCATCCATCTATTTGTAACCATATTTCTTGCCAACTCAGCAACCATATCATCTGCCTCTTCCCCTTTGGATGTCAAACTGCCTGCTCTTCACCGGACCACAAAGAACTATAACTTGGCCAAAGTTATAAAGAGTAGATGGACTACCTATTCACCACAGTGAAGCAGCAATAAAGAAATGGTGAACAAGAAAGACCCCAGTGGGTATTAACCTGACTCGAAAGCCTGTGGAATTTGTGGCCTGCTCTGGTGAAAGCAGCCTGCCAGCTTTGGAAAGCAACTTGCACAGCAACTCTCATTGCTCTGCTGCCTGTCAAAACTTGGAAATGCCAATAATTTAATGTGTTCCTAAAGGAACTACTCATTATTGGATGTTTCATTTTAAAATTGTCCACTACCAAGCATGAGTGGAGAGCACCCATTTTTGTCAGGATTGTGATACATGAGGAAGTCTGTTAATTTTTTTCCCCACGCTTCCCCATTACTAGGACAGATATTATTAGCTTCAGGTTTCTATTGGTACCATTGTGCATTTTCTCCTGGAGCTAGTAAAAGCCATTATATGGAGTATGACTTTAATCAGCAATGTAGCGTGGCAGAAAAGAATGGTATCTGCCTCTCAATGTAGGCTTGATAACTATCAGGCATCCCCATGTTTACTACAGTAATAGCAGTTTTAAAATGGAAGGTGCAACCGCAGATGGTATATTTAACTCCATTTTAGTTTCATCTCTTCTCATCACTACATATATTTTAAAGCACAATCATCTATCGACTGCTAAAAACAGTATTGCTCACTAAAATTCTCCATCGATGTCTTGCCTGTGCAGAGTATTCTTTTGCATAGGATGAATATACTTCCATTCTGTGGCACTGTAATGAAACAAGAAGAGCACATAGTAAGATATGAATCTGAGATGTGTATTTGTGTTTTAAAGCACATCCCCGAAAGCAGTACCTTTTTTAACACAGATTAGTTCTGACAGGCAGATAATCAACTTAGCAACATGGGATATACAAATAAGATATTTAGAGTGTTGCTTTTTTCCTGAGATGTTCAAATGCCCAGAGGGACCTATGAAAGAAGCATATGTGATCAGAACAGAGTTACTTAGTTAAAAGCACAGGTGAATGATGCTATTTAATTCTGTGTGATATCTTCATGAATCAGACATCAATCACACAATTGGTATATTTCCTTTTAATTTTGCGTGTGTGATGTTGCTGGCTGATATGAGAATCAACAAACCACATTTGCTGATTTGGTTACTGGGGATACCAAAAATAACTAGTCACTATTTTGTTGTTCCTAGAGTTGTATATCAGATTTAAAATGTGAACATATTTAGATCTCAGTTTTTTCTTTTCAGGAAACGTACAGTGTTCTTGCAAATGCTTTGAAGGGAGACCAAGAATCCATGATTGGAAGCAACCATTTAGGATATCAAGTGAAATCTTCTGTGCAATGCCTGAGCCATGTTTAAAGCATGCCTTCATTATTTTTCGTTGCCTTTTTGTGAATTCATATTTTATCTGAATCCCTTTTTTAAAGTATGGTAATCAAAAATTTATTGAAGTGGGATTAATCTGCAGTGTAGAGTAGAAATTTTAATTCTCATGATTTAAAAACTGATCTTCAGTTAATGCCACTTTAAATTACTTTTGTCTTTTTGGAAGCTTCATATTACTGATTCATATTCAGCATACACACAATTGTAATCTCAATGACAACTTTTTCAGATGTATCATTGCTTAGACTAATCTTATGCTTCAAACAGAGAGAGTTGGGGGAGATCCTTCCATTACTTTGTAAAACACCCTTCCAAATGGTTCACACAATCCTCCTAACCATTTTTCCCACTTCCACCTTCAATGGAGAATTTATTCTTCCAAAATCTCTGAAGCACAATCCATCTCCTTATAGCACTTCTCATCCAAAACATGTCACCAGTAGGTGTAGAAATGACATCCCTTTTACAAGCATAATTATTGCAGCCCTCCTCTATTCAGTTATTGTAAGAATGTTTTCATTCCTTTTCAATCACCTTCCAATGATAAGGGGATAACCAAGGCCCCCACCTTAGTTTTAAGTTATTAAAGTTTACTTCCTAAAGTTTCCTTCTAGAGCTACATATCTGTGCTTGTCACCATGAGAACGAGCAGCTGTCACAATGATGGGAACATTTAGGATTACATTTCCCAACCCCTTCTCTAAAAAAAATGTATTTCATGTATATCTGCTTCTCTTCCCCGCAGGACGGAAATATCAGTCACACTACATTTTCTCTCATTTCTTCAAGACTTCAACTTCTGGATCTCCTGCCCAACAATATCTACTATAGACTTTACCAAGAAGGGTCAAAACCTTATTTTACCAGACCCTAAAAGCAGCTTTTACTTTCAGCGTTACAGAATGCCTTCTAAATCTTTTGCCTCCAAGAGT